CATGTATGCGCACAAATAGACAAAGGTGCATGTGTGCATAACACATACACACACACACACGTGTACATGCATGCACGTACACATACACACATATACATAGACATACACACANACAAAAAACAAAAGTGCACGTGCACATTAACACACACACACACACACACACACAAACACACACACACACACACACACAAACACACACACACACACGCACACAACCACATGAACACACACACACACACATTAACATAGACAAAAGTGCATCAACACATACACACACATACATACATAGACTGCACATGACTGTACACACACACACACACACACATCATATAAATGTATCATGATTAAACTCACGTTGGGATGCTGTGGGTCGTTGTCAGGGTGTTGATATGCGGTTGCTAGGGCTGTTCTGGATGGACACTGAAACAGCTCATCTAGAGATTAATCATTCAGCTTTAGGCTTTCAGAAACCTTTCATGACCTGCAGGAGCATCTTATGTGTGTGTGTGTGTGTGCGCTAGCTGCAGATCCATCCATAATGCAGGAATACACACATAGCTAAATTTACTGCAGGTCAGAGCAGAGGCTTTATGTGTCAGAGAAGCAAGAGATTAAACTATAAATGTCAACATTTGGATATGAAAATACAGGATTCGCCCAAACAACACTTACAAATATAGGAAATTAGCTTTAAATGATAGAATACATAACAAAATACAAATAAAATAACAGGTTTAACCTATTAAAATCAATTTACTGATCACACCGGTACGAGCCAAAGGGTTAAAAGTGCTTATTGTTGGCTTTAATTTTTCAGCGATTCCTCCGAGTACCACTAGAAAAAGCCTGCGTACCACTACCACAGTCAGAGAAGCACTGCTTTAGAGAATTTACCAGATGCTTTGCTGAAACACAGAGCTGTAACCCCAGAGAAGCGTCACATGATCTCCTCAGAGGTTTATAATCTTCTTCATGCAGTTGAAGAGTTTTCCTCCTCAGTGAATGTGTGCAGTCGACCTCTCATTACCCAGAATTCCAGAGGGGATGAAGCAGCATGTGACCTGCTGCAGGCCACAGACTTCAGTGTGCGTCAGTAATCTGAACAGAGGATTACAAAGAACTGGAATGTGGGTGTGTGTGTGTGTGTGTGAGAGAGAGAGTCTGGATGTGTGCATGTGAGTATTAATGAATGTGTGTGAGAGTGAGTGTGTTTGTATGTATATGTGAATGTGTGTATGTTTTTATATGTGTGTGTGTCTGTGTTGACACCATGCTCAATTGGTACTAATGAGCCCAAAGAAAATCTCCCCCACACCATTACACCACCACCACCAGCCTGAACCGCTGATACAAGGCAGGATGATCCATGCTTTCATGCTGTTGAGGCCAAATTGTGAGCCGAGCATCCGAATGTGTCAGCAGAAATGGAGACTCATCAGAGCAGCAACGTTTCTCCAATCTTCTATTGTCCAGTTTTGGTGAGTCTGTGTGAATTGTAGCCTCAGTTTCCTGTTCTTAGCTGACAGGAGCGGCACCCGGTGTGCTCTTCTGCTGCTGTAGCCCATCCGCCTCAAGGTTGGCCGTGTTGTGTGTTCAGAGATGCTCTTCTGCAGAGCTCGGTTGTAACGAGTGCTTATTTGAGTTACTGTTGCCTTTCTATCAGCTGGAGCCAGTCTGGCCATTCTCCTCTGACCTCATCAACAAGGCATTTGCGCCCACAGAACTGCCGCTCACTGGATATTTCCTCTTTGTCGGAGCATTCTCTGTAAACCCTAGAGATGGTTGTGCGTGAAAATCCCAGTAGATCAGCAGTTTCTGAAATACTCAGAGCAGCCCGTCTGGCAGCAACAAACATGCCACGTTCAAAGTCTCTTAAATCCCCTTTCTTCCCCATTCTGATGCTCACTTTGACCTGCAGCAGATCATCTTGACCATGTCTACATGCCTAAATGCAGTGAGCTGCTGCCATGTGATTGGCTGATTAGAAATTTGCATTAACATGCAGTTATACAGGTGTACCTAATAAAGTGGCCGGTGAGAGTATGTGTAGTGTTTGTTTGTGTGTGTATAAGTATTTTATGTGTGTGCATATGTGTATGAGTGTGTGACAGAAAGAGCGAGCATGTATGAGTGTATTGGTGAGTGTGTGTGAGTCTGTATGTGTTAAAGTGTGTATGAGTGTATATGTGCGAGTGTGTGAATATAAGTGTTTGTGTAGGAGTATATGTACTGTATTTGCATGTGCATTTGGGTGTGTGTCAGTGTGTATTTAAGTGAGTGAATGTATGTGTGTGTCTGAGGGTGTATTTAAGTGAGTGTGTGTCTAAGAGTGTGTATTTGAATCAGTGTATGTCTGAGAGTGTGTATTTGCGTGTGTATCTGCGAGTGTGTATTTGTGCATATATGTGCACACGTTTAGCTGCTGATCTCTCGAACAGAACCCAAGATCGTGAATATCTTGTTCTCTCAAATAATCCCCCAACAGCAGCAGCAGTGATCATTAGAGAGTATCCTTCAAAGTAAAAGCCTCAGTTCAGTGCATCAGTGTGATTATATACAGTATAATACAGTCACTCACGTCACATGTGTGTGTTTATTTCTCCTCCAGATCCCCAACGCTCCTCCAGCATACGAGAAGATCGCCTCTGGACCATCACCTCCACCATACACACCTTAAAACACACACACACACACACACACACTGAGGAAAACATCTGTAAATCTGCAGGATAAAGAGCCCTGAGCATCATCTGCATTCACCACCGCTGGACTAAACTCAACGACAACCATCTGCTTTATTAATATCAATGTTTATTCAATAAATGTTAGATGTGGAGCTCAGAAATGCAATAACTATTGAAAAGTTCTGGTTTAAATTGGATGTATTTAAAAGGAAAACACTCTTGGGATGCACCGATGTCATCTATCAGAGTTTGAACAATGAGTCACTATTTACATCACTGAAATTGTATTTAAATGACATGTCTAATGTCTAATAATAATAATAACTCAACACTATCCAAAATCCCCATAAACCTCATCATAGAGACAGCAGAAGTCACTCCTAATAGTTTTAATGTGTCAAAAATGGCCCTTTTAGGTTTATTAAATATTAACACTTAAGCATTTTAATAACACACTCAACATTCTTTAGTGAACAGAATTACTCTGCAACAAAACTGAAGGAGTAAACATCTGTATGCAGTAAAGTTACACATTTATATGCATCAAAGCATGTTTTGGAAACAATAAACATAATTTCACTGAATTATTTTACACTCAAATTCTGTTTCATGTTCTTGATAAATTTAATTTTAGGCAAAAAAATAATGAATAATATATTTGATTACATAAATACGATTTCTCTGCTTCTCTGAAATGATTTACAACTAAATATAATGATGGCATTTAAGAAAAGTAGATGAAGAGTTCAGATGCAAAAACCTCTAATCTTTCCTTATAAATTCAGCACTTTTCTCAGACTCTTGTGTGTGTCGGCTCAGAAATGTTACTTTTATATTGACGAATAAGTTCTTTTCATTGCCTTTAAAGTGAAATACTTAACCATAAACACAGAATGCTGAGAAAAATGCTCATTTTAGGAGGAAAAATTCAGACTTTCAAGTTTTTGCATCTGAACTCTTCATATTATAACTGATTAAATGACATAATTGAACAGTAATGCTGCAATGCAGTAATGCAGTAATATCTTTTAGTAGATAAAGTCATTTAATTACAGTAACTAGTTACTTTATAACTAAATACACCAGCACTGAGTAGAAGTAGTCTGTTTCTGATACTCGATGCCGATATTTTTCTAAGATATGCCAGTTTACCAAATATGATTTATTCATTTTCCTTCGGCTTAGTCCCTTTATTCATCAGCGGTCACCACAGAGGAATGAACCACCAATTTATCCAGCATGTTTTATGCAGCGGATCTCTTCCAGCTGCAACCCATTACTGGGAAACACCCATACACACTCATTCTCTCTCTCTCTCTCACACAAACACACTACAGCCAGTGTAGTTGATCAGTTCCCCTATAGCGCATGTGTTTGGACTGTGGGGTAACTGAAGCACCCGGAGGAAACCCACACCAACATGGGGAGAACATGCAAACTCCACACAGAAACACCAACTGACCCAGCCGGGACTCGAACCAGTGACCTTCTTGCTGTGAGGCCACGGTGCTAACCACTGAGCCACCGTGTCACCCCCAAGTATGAGTGTGAGACTAAATTTAAATACAGCTTTTCTGTAATTATGAACAACAGTAATTATTTTCTCTGCTCATTACAAAAGTATCATCATTTTCACTGCTTAATACCAAGGACATAAAATACTAATAAAATCATTTCTTCATCAAGCACTCACAAAGTTCTCCAATACAAATTTCACTAAATATTTGAACAGAATACTGTATAACAATTTCAATGTTGTGCAATAATTCAAAGTATTTGTAGTCTTTGATATTGTAGGGTTTTTGTAAGACTGAGACCAGTATCGGTGCGTCCCTCATTTAACCACATTCAATGTAAACCTGTATAATGTTTGCTGTTTAGGGTGTCAGATTGGTGCATTAACAGAATCAGCTTTAAGCACAGACTGAGCTGCTGCACATGTACTTTACTTCTGTACTGTCTTCTAATGTCAGTGCTAAACATATTCTTCTAGTATTTAAACTATCATCTTTATCAGATATTCAGTTTCCACATATATGACTGTAACCGTGTACAGCCGTGGTCAAACTGGTACCTGCATGTTTATTAAGAGTTCCAGCTACCTGAAGGCTTCAATGAAGACATGCTGAGCTGCTCATGCAGTGAACAGGCATCACACATACAACTGAACAGCACAGAATAAAGCATCTAGAGCAGTGGTTCTCAAAGTGGGGGTCGGGACCCCCCGAGGGGTCGCGGGGCAATGAAGGGGGGGTCGCCTGGTGATTTCCAAAAATCTATTTATTTTTATTAAACCACAAGAATTAACATATTTTATCCATAACTATACTGAAAATAAAAATAGTCGTTTATAGTTACTTTATACTATATAGTTACTAGTTCTATTGGATTGCGACCCCTGNGGTAATTACATTATATTAAAGGCAGCAATAGCGTCAGATGCATTTTGATTTTATAACATCAGGTTATACTTTCTGGCACATTTAAAGCACTGAC